GTCGATCTGAGTACCTCGGTCAAAACCAGGAAAACAAACCGTGAAGTGTGGAAATGAGTTGTGAATATTAACGTTTTTCTTTGAATATGGAAGTATGGGATCGTGAAGGTCAGACTGAAATAGTAACTTTAGAGATCGTCTGCATCAAATCATGTTTTGGTGAAGAGGCGGTTAGCCGTGGCGACTCTTGATTCGGGCTTACATTGCATTACCCTCAGACAAGAGTCGTGGAAAGATGCATTGGCAAAACTGCACATTTCCCGTTGGCTTCCAGATGCTCCGTTTTCGACCCGGTTTTTTGCTGTCCCGAGCTTCCCTACAATATAACTCCACAATTGGCCGGGTTGCCGATGTTTAGATCAGCCTAAATATTCCACAGCGCGACAGAAAAGTAGTAAAATAGCTAGTCGGCACAAGCTGGCGGCCATCTTGGAATGTCCGCTACCGCCGTCGGGAACGCTCGGTAGCGTCACGATTACCGAAGCGCGACCGAAAGCTCTCCGATTATAACCGGAAAGGCTACCGAGCGTTCCCGACGGCGGTAGCGGACATTCCCGACTATATCCAAGATGGCGGCCAACTTGTGCCGACTAGCTATTTTACTACTTTTCTGTCGCGCTGTGGAATATTTAGGCTGATCTAAACATCGGCAACCAATTGTGGAGTTATATTGTAGGGAAGCTCGGGACAGCAAAAAACCGGGTCAAAAACGGAGCATCGTGCAGCCAACGGGAAATGTGCAGTTCTGCCAATGGATCTTTCCACGACTCTTGCTGAGGATAATGCAATGTAAGCCCGAATCAAGAGTCGCCACGGCTAGCACAAGAACAAGTTTTACACTAAGCTATTGACTAACACTAAGTTTGACCTCGCACATTTTCAAGTTGGTCGGGTGAAGGTACCTTTTTAATAGCTCTTTCAGAAAAAGCTCTTATGATAAAATTTTATTGGTCTAATTAGTTTACATTGTTGTACATTGGTTTATTGTTGTACATGTTAGGGGCACCGATAGTCTTAAGTCATAATGTCAGCTTACATTTAATACTTAGTATAACGTTATATTTTTTGCACACTTTTGATAAAAACTGGCTCATATCTACAAACGTATAACGGAGGGTCTCATACCTCAATTCTTTTGTTAACCCATAAGCTTCAATCAGTCCATGAACTGCACTTGCCTGAAATACAGGGAAAAATCATTTTTTGTCATGACTTTCATGTTTATATAAGAGTAGATACAGAAGTAACTAAGGAATTATTGTCATGCTCATAGTCATACTATCATAGTGTTAGCAAGACAAAGTCAACAACAATCTGAATAAGGAAAATCCTACAACACTGTTAACTGTTAAGCTGCTCAGAAAATGCCTTTTCAACGTTGTTTTCACACTTAGCTATGAGTGAGAACCACCTGGTGTGGGGAGGGGGGCAAATCTAGTAAATCAAGAAAAACTGTAAGTAGGCTACGCAAAGTCATGGCGCTTTTGAACACGTAGCGTTACATATAACTTTTACAGTATGTTCTCATAATTTTGAAGCAAAATTGAAAATGGAGGATGTTGCCCATGACACTACTCAAGATGGGTGACCAGAAAAATTATGATTTTTTCTGAACAAAGGATACACAAAATCAACTCACCCTCCCTGGTACTTTGGCGAGATTATTGCACAAATCTACATACATCTGACTATGTACAAACACAACTGCATCATTTCTACATGCGACATCGCTACGTGGCACTAAAACGTCTCTGTTTGGAGGAAGATTTCGATGACAGCTGCCTCCTCCATCGTTTTCTTTGTCACTGCCGTCCGCCATCTTGTCAAAATTCAAATTTGGCGCCATCACGAAATCTCGTCCTGTGCGAGAGCCCCGCACTCGAACAGCTATATCATCAGCATTTATCAATATTAGTCCATATGGGACTGCTATATTGATATAAATTGTATACAAAAGCAGTTGAATGTAATCATATGGTTTAGTTGTTGGAATAGATGGAGAAATTTCCATTTTAAATAAAAGTCACGTGGTTTTTACCAGCGCGATTCTGCGAGATTTGAGCCCCCGACCCAAACGGTGCGCATTTGGCGGGGAATCTAGGTTAAAATCGGTAGTGTCTGTTTAGCTGTCTCTGTTTTCTTCTCGTTTCTTCCTCAATATTTTCCCGTGGGACTGGACATTTGCTCTGGTAAGTAGCACACGGTTCCTACACATATTCCTTTGTGTTAACAGCGATTGTGCAATCCTCTTGCCCAATTTCGGCGCTCCCCCTAAAACGTGAGGCAAGGCCGTGCGAGGTTTTCTCACATCACGACTCCGGTCTTCCGTCAGGATTTTACTCGTTCCCTTCCGATGTTTTCTCGTCTGATCGCCAGACTAACGAGAAACACACGTAGAGTCAAATTCTGTACATTTCCGGAACGGACAGGTCAGTTTATGATTTTGTTAGCGCTTTTGAAATGTGCGATCATATGTGGAGAAAATTCGGGTACGTCTCGATATCTGTTCACGTTTAGACGATGGTTCCCAAATTTTCCGATTCTGTTGGGAAATTCCATACAGTTAGATCAATAAAAATAATTCTGCTCCACATAGTTTTGCCGAACCATAGCATAGGTGTGTCAACAATAGGTTATTTGCCTCTGGCTGTTCTTCTTTTTGGCGCTTTCGCGTGCGCGCTAGTTTTTCTGCTTTAGCGTGCAGTGTTATGTTATGGCTATGTATACAGTCGTGGGGAGGGGGGCACAAGAGCACGCGGCGGGCTGATTTTTCTGGATCTATGGGAAGTTGTCAACTCCAGTTAGCACAGAACATACGCATATGCCTGCCATTGTGTGTAGCTGAAGTTGAAGTACGGCTTGGTCGACCTTTTGACTTTATCATACGTACAGACACGTGGTGCCCCCAAGCCATGAATTATAATAATAATTAACTGTGACCCAATTTGCCAAAAAACGTAAACACAAATTATTTTCACTTGGAAAAAAAATTAAAGCCAACTCAGTGACAGAAAAATCCCAACTCACTGTTTTCTGAACTTACAGTTTTAACAGATGATTGTAGTATATAGCTCACAGTAACTCAGTGTCACTGTGTTAGCCAACAATGGCAAGCATGTGCTCGAGGCATGCTTTAGGGCATGGGCTAATGATTACCTACAGGATATGACGTTAGTTTGCGTGTAGGGGTCACGCCATCCCTAGGGTTTCCCTGCTATTGAGTATGCTCGCTGGACTTTGGTCTCTGTCTTCCACGTAGTACCAAAAGCAGTATACTTTCCCCTCACTGGACCTGTATTCAGTCCACCTGTTTCTGTGTTGCCTATAAAACACAGGCAGTTGACAGTTAGGTTGAAAGGCATTGCCAAAGAGAGTACGTGGCAGCTCTGTAGTGTACTGTAAATTTGTATAGAGGCAGGTGGGAACGTGCCAGATGGCCACTTCACAACGCAAACGTACAACGTCATGGTGTGATTACACCGACCTGAAGCCAGGTATTGTGCGCCAGTCTTGCCGTCAAGGTGGTTCTCATTGTATGTGTGGAAATGATATGTGTGACCCGCCCCCTGTCTGTATATCGTATAGCCAGTACATGTATAACTGTCCACACAGTCCTTTCAGCAAAACACACCAGCTTGCGGTGTCAGCTGGTTACTTTGTTCTTACTTAGTTCTAGTCATCAGTATTTCTTATCCTCTTCTGAGCAGGTATTACAATTTATACGATCTGTTGTAGAATAAGATTATGCCTTTTTGTGACATTTGAGGACAACAGGTGCTCATTTGCAGGGTTGTCAGTGATCATAGAATTTGGTAAAGGCTAAATTTTGAACTGGAAAGAAAAACACTTGGTCTGTATAATTTGCATAATTGTGACTCGAAATTCTATTCTGAGGATCTACTCCAAATTCAGTATGTTGTATTATTGTATGTGTGAAAATGTCCAAGTGTGTATTGGTAGTACAGGTATAATTGTTCCTCCACTTTCACAGCTACATGCAATGATAGTTCACTCTCACTTGGCTTTTGTCAACAAAATTATGTAATCCTTTAGGGCATGAAATGACAGGTGGGTGGTAGGTGTGATGAAGGTGTTGTCAAATTTGCATAAGAATACAAAGTGGAAAGGCTTCCATTTCCTAGAAACTATGACACTATACATTTTAACAGACACTTAACTTAACATCATGTATGTGACTTGAATATACTTTTGAGAACAGTCCACCACCTGCGGAATACTTAATACAAATGTTTTCCATTTTTCACGCTACATAAAATCTATTTTTCGAGCAGAGCAGTGCAGGTAAAATTTGTCAGTCTTGTGCAGTTTATCTTCAATGCTACTTGCACCAGTGCATGTATGCAGAAATAAGTGCCGGTATTTTGAGCCATTGGCAGATATGATGTATCAGACACTTGGAATGGATACTTTATTATTAAGCCCATTTGCTGACATTATAATTACATTAATTTTTGCAAGCAGCTAATTTTCCCAGACACCAATTACACACAAGAAAAATTCAACGCACACAGTTTTTGTGTGTTGGTCAGATGTGTGTAAATCAGGTCTAAGTCTAGTCTACACTGCACTGTATTTTATGCTCTACTCCCTGTCCCTTGCAGTTCCCACCCTGGCTTCCTCTACGATGAGTTCTAACATGCGATACATCCTGGTGTCGGGAGGCGTCAACCGTTAAAAATCAGGGGTTCTGCTGACGTTCTGGGCTAAATGAACATGTAGTCTATAGTAGCACTGTATTATACGCTTTACTCCTTGTTCCCCACAGTTCCCACCCTGGCTTCCTCTACAATGAGTTCTAACATGCGGTACATCCTGGTGTCGGGCGGCGTGATCAGCGGGATCGGGAAGGGCGTCATCGCCAGCAGCATTGGCACCATCCTCAAGTCCTGCGGGTTAAAGGTCACATCCATCAAGATCGACCCTTACCTCAACATCGACGCCGGGACCTTCTCTCCTTACGAACACGGTGAGTGTGTTCAGGGTTTGAAATCCTGCCTGAGCTGTGCAGGTATTTCTGATCTCTACCTGTACCTAACCTGCACTGGTCCATGTACTGGGTATATGTAGGTTAGTGCAGGTAAAATTGGAGCTGTGCAGGTATTTCTGATCTCTACCTGTACCTAACCTGCACTGGTCCATGTACTGGGTATATGCAGGTTAGTGCAGGTAAAATTGGGGCTGTGCAGGTATTTCTGATGTCTACCTGCACCTAACCTGCGCTGGTCCATGTACTGGGTATATGCAGGTTAGTGCAGGTAAAATTGGAGCTGTGCAGGTATTTCTAATGTCTACCTGCAACTAACCTACACTGGTCCATGTACTGGGTATATGCAGGTAAAATTGAAGCCGTGCAGGTATTTCTGATGTCTACCTGCACCTAACCTGCACTGGTCCATGTACTGGGTACATGCAGGTTAGTGCCGGTAAAATTGGAGCTGTGCAGGTATTTCTAATGTCTACCTGCAACTAACCTACACTGGTTCATGTACTGGGTTTACATGTAGATGTACTCAGATTTTTATTTGTTGCATTGACTGTTACCACTGTTATGAAAGAGGGTTATAATTGGTCAAAAACTGAAAGAAAACTACTTAAGTATCAAGAAAAAAATCAATGGGAAATTCACACTTTGCCTTAGGTAATTGGTGACTCATATGGCACATGTACACTCACGCGACTTCAAAGGTCATGTTGGGCAATCCTGTGTTTGTTTTAACATATTACATAACGAGTAGCCCACACTTGACAAATGTATTTATCTCTCACTGTGGTTCCAAAGGTTAGTAAAATCTATTGTCTGTTGTCTTCTTAACATCACAAAATGTTGTGATAAAAATGAAATGAGTTGTGCTTTTGCAACTCAATTTGAACACTCACTATAAGATTACTTTCCACAAGGCCACAAGATCTCAGTTGGAAATTGAGAAATTTCAGACGATATAGTGAATGAATGGAAGACCTTAATTGTACGTTTGTGCTCTAACAAGCTAAGTACAGGTCATGAATAGACAAGGATACAGCAATTACACTTAAACTATACGTACAAATGTGATCTACTATTTACATTATTAGGATTCATTAAGTGTGATTTGCAAACACATGTAGTTACTAGTTAGTTAGCAGCTACACCAAAGTCTCTAAAGTACTTTTGTAGACGATCTTGGGTTACTTCAGAATGTCCAAAAATTGATCCGAAGATGAGCTGATTTTTCTGTTGTTACTCCAGGAGAGGTGTTTGTGTTGGATAATGGTTGAATTTTTCTGTTGTTACTCCAGGAGAGGTGTTTGTGCTGGATGATGGTGGAGAGGTGGATCTGGACCTGGGGAATTACGAACGTTTCCTGGACGTGAAGCTGACCCGAGACAACAACATCACCACCGGCAAGATCTACCAGTCCGTCATCAACAAGGAGAGGAAGGGAGACTATCTGGGCAAGACTGTGCAAGGTGAGGGACCTGCCAAGTTTGAGCTTAGCCTTTGTGTGCTTACTACTAGTGTTGTGTGCACAATTCACAGTAGATTTGCAAGAAATCTTGGCTGTACATTTGGAATAAGCAAATTTGGAAAGAAGCCAGAACTCTAGTGCAGATACAGAAATGCAAATTTGGACAGACAAATCCATTCAATACACATAGCCAGCAAAAACAATACTTTAGTGCCAGTGTCATGTCAGTATTTACAAACTATCGGAGACGAGTGTTGTAGCTGTGCAGTTAGGAAGCTGTACCTTTTAGTAGTTAAGATATAGATCTAAACATTGAGTTGCTGGTCTTGTTTTGAACAAAATACCTTGAAGATTTACCTGCTCCTGGGTAGTGCAGTGCTTTTTGAAGAAATTATGTCATGTATTAGTGAGATTGTGTACTTCCTATGTTGTTTGTAATTTTAAAAAGTAATTGTTCTAGGACTGATAATATTTGGATGTACAGCTGTATCAGTAGATGAAGTTTCTCCCTGTACCCCTACAGTTGTTCCCCACATCACTGATGCTATCCAGGAGTGGGTGCAGCGGGTTGCTAAGATACCAGTGGACGGGAAGAACGAGGAACCCGAAGTCTGTGTCATTGAGGTGAGGGAGAAATTCTCTTGTAGATAGACTTATAGTTATAGGGCTCGAAATACCACCTCCATATGCAGGTTATTGCAGGTAAAATTGGAGCTGTGCAGGTATTTCTGATGTCTACCTGTACCTAACCTGCACTGGTCCATGTACTGGGTATATGCAGGTTAGTGCTAGTAAAATTGGAGCTGTGCAGGTATTTCTGATGTCTATCTGTACCTAACCTGCACTGGTCTGTGTAGTGTGTTTGTATAGAATTGTAAGTGTATGTGGATTTTTATTTGCTGCCTTGACTGTTGCCACCTATGAAATATAAAGGAAATAATGGTAATGGTTTCTGAAGAATTTTTTAGTATGATCCATTCTTCAAATTTCTGAGTGGTTCAGGTAAAATTTGTCTGGTGTAGGTAACAGTGAAGGATTGCGAGCCCTGCTTGGGATAGAAGTTGCACTATCTTACAATCTAATACAGTTAGGCATAGGAAAATAAATCTTGTGTTTCCTGTTTCAGTCTTGACAAAAATTAGGGTCGGTAGGTAGGAAATATCTTTTTTTGTTGTTGTTTCTTTTGTTAAATTGTACTCGATGGCAGTAGGGTTAGATATACACACTTCACTGCAGCTTGTATAAACCTCTCACCAAGAGATTAGGCATAGGAAAAGAAATGTCGTGTTTCCTGTTTCAGCCCTGAAAAAATTAGGGTCGGTAGGTAGGAATTACCTTTTTTTTCTTGTGTTAAATTGTAGTCGTTGACAGCAGGGTTAGATATACACACTTCACTGGAGCTTCTATAAACCTCTCACAAAGAGATTAGGCATAGGAAAATACATGTAATGCTGTGTTTCATGTTTCAGTCCTGAAAAAAATTAGGGTCGGTAGGTAGGAATTTTTATGATAGTTTTTGCTCAGTTTCTTCCTCTTCTTCGCCAAACCAAAAAGGTTAATGACCTGAACCAGACTGTCTGTTACCATGGTAAGTAGTGTTGGGTTACATCATGTTGCAATTTAATAGCAGGAGGGATTTATTCTCCTGTCTGTCGACCATATATATGAATGTTTGAGTAAGAATTAACAGAGCAGACCATATGCACTTGCTTTGCAAATGTTACCTTTCTAGTTATTTTTTCTTTCGTTTTTTTAGACTTTGGTGATCTCTAGTGATTCAACAGTTACTTATACAATACAATACGGTTTAACAAAGTAGAACTTGCATGAAGACACATATTTTCAATGTCGATGTTGGAAAACCGATTATACAACGTTTCATCACTCAGGTGTCAGATCATGGAGCTAGAAAAGGTTGATCAGCTCGAAAAATCTATGACTTGCAGGGGTCCAGACACAAAAAAGGCTAGGGTTGGCAGTTTTTTTTCTAGGGTCGGTCGGGAAACAGGAAACACAGTATTTTATTTCCTAGGCCTTATCTTAAATGTGAAAGCAGACCAAAGTTACAGTAACATACTCAATAGCATAGTCACTTTAGCAAAATGTTTAATTTTATGTTTTCTCCCGACAGCTTGGCGGCACCATTGGTGACATTGAAGGCATGCCGTTTGTGGAAGCGTTCCGACAGTTCCAGTTCAGAGTGAAGAGAGAAAACTTCTGCTGTGTGCATGTCAGTCTCGTGCCTCAGGTAGGTAACTAAATCTGCTGGTCTAAACTCCAGACAAAAATGTTTTGTTGGGGTGTTCCCTTTAGGTACTAGAAAGACATTTGCTTTTGTGATGGTTTTATTTTGCTATATGAGGGGAGAAAGAGGGCGTTGCAGTGTTTTTTAAAGTTCATGGTTGAAAGAATTGTGCATTACAAGAGAAATACAAGGCACATATTTTTGATTTCAAGTTAGAAGGACACTGCAAAAAGCGTGAAAACTGCCGGGAACATGTCATAGTTTACAGTAGAATGAATTGTTGCATGAATTGTCTATATATTCCAAGCAAAGAAGCTAGAGTTCATTTGAAGATTGTTATACAGAACTGGATTTGAGACAAAGTCAAGAATATTGTTGCCAGACTGTCTTTGGTAGTATTCAATGTAAAGAAGTATGTAATAAGGTAATCACTAATGGAGATCTAAATAAACCAAACCAAGGTATGTATATTGTAGCATGTCCTTACAGTAGAATGTTTCCCACCCTGCCCAGCCCGGCTCCACAGGTGAACAGAAGACCAAACCCACACAGAACAGCGTCAGGGAGCTGAGAGGGCTGGGTCTTTCTCCTGACCTGGTAAGAACAACTTTTCTTACTCCGGGGACAGAAGTATTGTATTGGGTGGCTGAGCGTGTGTGTTTGTATGTCTGTGTGTCCAGAGTAGGTTGTACATTGGTGGGAACAATGAGAGGAGGTCAAAGGTTTGAGAATCTGGAATCCAGGAGAGAAAAGTCACTTAAAAATAGACGTTGTCATAGGATATAAGGGTTTTCTTTTGGAAGTAAGAGGATTGCATAGTTCCCAGAAGCCTGGTATCTCTGATTTATTCAGTAAATTTTTTGTTTTTTTGTCATGATAAAGGCATGCTACAGTTATATTTTGTACCCATATGTACTCTCAATAAAGTGTTCATGAATGATGAAGAGGTGTCTTCTTTTTTTCAGGTTGTTGCTCGCAGTCAGAACCCGATTGGTCAGGGAGTGAAGGAGAAGATCTCCATGTTCTGTCACGTGTCGCCTGATCAGGTAAGTCACCTGGTAAAACACCTGCTGTACAAACACCTGCAACACATGACACTCAAACACCTGGTAGGGCTTGAAATCCCACCTGCATATGCAGGTTAGTGCAGGTAAAATTGGAGCTGTGCAGGTATTTCTGATGTCTACCTGCACCTAACCTGCACTGGTCCATGTACTGGGTATATGCAGGTTAGTACAGGTAAAATTGGAGCTGTGCAGGTATTTCTGATGTCTACCTGCACCTAACCTGCACTGGTCGGACTGGGTATATGCAGGTTAGTGCAGGTAAAATTGGAGCTATGCAGGTATTTCTGATGTCTATCTGCACTTAACCTGCACTGGTCCATGTACTGGGTATATGCAGGTTAGTACAGGTAAAATTGGAGCTGTGCAGGTATTTCTGATGTCTATCTGCACCTAACCTGCACTGGTCCATGTACTGGGTATATGCAGGTTAGTGCAGGTAAAATTGGAGCTGTGCAGGTATTTCTGATGTCTATCTGCACCTAACTGGCACCAATCCATGAAGGTCCAAAAGTGGTAAAAAACTGCATTATACCCTACAAGCTTCTCCACAGGTGATCTGTATCCATGACAATGACAGGTGTGCTTGACTGACAGTTCATGTTTGATTGACAGGTATGATTGACAGGTGTGTTTGATTGACACCCCCGCAGGTGATCTGTATCCATGACTGCAGCTCCATCTACCGCGTCCCCGTGATGCTGGAGGAACAGAACGTGATCCGCTTCTTCTCGGAGCGGCTCCACCTGGAGATGCCGAGTCGCAACGGCGGCAAGCTGCTCCGCAAGTGGAGGGACCTTTCAGACAGGTGGGGATGCTTCTTGTGTTTCCTAACATTATATAAGCTGGTGTGTTATGCTGAAGGGCAGTTATACTGGGTATACAGATACAGAAGATAACATTTTGTAACTAAACTTTTGTTTTGAGACATTGGAATGAGGATTTTTGGAATCCTGTGTTACTTACTGTTCTGTGCGACAGCTCTTTTTGATAATCTACCTTTGCAATATGCCTCTGAACGTTTCCAAAACCATATCCAGTTCCTTGAGTAACTGCTTTTTGGCATATCTTATTACCTGGATGTCTAACCTTCGAAGTGCATTTGCAATAAGATATTGGGGTTTACCAGAATTCAAAACTTGTACAAAAAAGCACAATATTCTTGCGATATCCTGCAAAGTAACTTTTGATACAACGATCTACCTTCATGGTGCTATTTTTGCTAGTGCACCCAGGTCTTTTAGGTTGGGAACACCAGAGCTCCTGAGTCAAAATGTTGAGAGTCCTGTGTGTATTTTATGATGTTGTTTCTGCCCTGCTCAGATTTGACCATCTGCGGAAGGATGTGTCCATTGCCCTGGTGGGGAAGTACACTCAGCTGGAGGATGCCTACGCCTCGGTCATCAAGGCTCTCAAACACGCTTCACTCGCCTGCAACCATAAACTCACACTGAAGGTAACTACAAACCCACAAACTCACACTTAAGGTAACTACAAACCCAACTTAAGCAACTATAAACTCACACTCAAGGTAACAACAGACACGCTTAAGGTAATTAGACTTGCTCTAAAGGTACAGGCAAATACAGACAGCTTGGTTTTCCAGTTAATGGGCTTTTCAAATCCTTTCAAGGCATCTAGAAACTTTTTCCTGCATATGGATTTTGTCAATGAGTTGTCTGTATACATGTAATAGTCCATGTACTTATGTGAGATATTCTCTTGTGAGGTATTGTGCTTGTGCAAGATATAGTTGACATGAATGTTTGTTTTTGAATTCAATTTCTCAGTTCCAATTGTTCTTTTTTTTCTGATTGGGAATGCAAAGAATTGGCTATGCATGTGAAGTTAGAAGCATATTCACATATCAAAGGTATTTCTTTTTTTTTTGTTCCAACTCTCCGTTTTGTTTGTATCACCAGTACATAGAGGCCTGCCACCTGGAGGAAGAGAGCATGAGCACCAACCCTGTGCGCTATCACGAGGCGTGGTCCCAGCTCTGTAGCTCTGAGTAAGATAAACGCTTTTGTGATAAACACTGTCCAAGATGTCTGACGTCTGGCTAGAGACTGGAACCACTCTGGACAAACTGTTGTAATGTGTGATACATACCTTGGCTGATGTTTGCAACAAGATGGAAATTCAATGCATTTTATTAACATTTTTTGAGCAGAGAATCATTTTGTATCAGAAAAGATACTAATTTTTCACTTCAAAATTTGATTCAAACTTTCCATTGTGTACAAGTGTTACATTTAAGACCTAGATTGGTCCAAATCTTTGGGGGAAAAACACAAATCAAGGCAACTGACAAAGCTTCAATGGTAAAATTACTTTCACCCAAGAGTAGCCAGTTTGTGAAAAGGGGTGTACTTCCAGTCTCTAGCCATAACATCAGACAGCCTGGTTACAGTTTAATGAAAAAACTCTGAGCCATTCATTCCTCTCTCTCCCTGTGCCCCCCTCCCCTCCCTGGTGTTGTGTTCTCAGTATGTTCAGGCAGAGGATCTGGAGACCTGGGCTGAGGTGGAGCAGCCACTAGCCTACCACGAGGCATGGAAACAGCTCTGTGGGGCAGAGTACATGTCACTCTTTCTTCTTACCTTCCCTGTGTTATGGGCATGCCTGCGTCTTTCAGCTTATCAACAGAACGTACTGTGCCTGAGCTACACCCAGATTTTTCATGGTCTTCATTGACTGTGTGGTCAATGTTGGATCAGAATTTTGCCGATTGCAGACCATCTTTTTTTGACAGAACATTTGAAAACTATACACAGAATGCAAACACAAATATGACTTTAAACAAATTCTGCTAAAGTGCCATGCACTTACGTTATGGGTTTCATGCAGCCACAGTATGTTCTGCTAATGTGCTATCTTTTCCTCTGTTCTCCGAACCTTGTTGGTAGCATGTGATATGGACAGTTGTATTTTTTACTTATGTTGATCTTTTTTTAGTTTAATATTGCAGACCTGTCTTGTTTATGATTGGCTTTCGTACATGAACATTTATTTGCTTGAAGTGTAAGTTGATATTGTACCTAGCCTTAAAACAGCAAAAAAAAAGTTTTCAACAGTTTGGCACATCAACTTTGTTTATGGTCAGTTTGTATTTTGTTCATGTCTGGTTCTGATTGTACTTTATTTTCCAGCGGTGTCCTTGTTCCTGGAGGGTTTGGAGTTCGGGGGGTTGAAGGGAAGATCCGTGCTGCTGAGTGGGCCAGGAAAAACAAGAGACCTTATCTGGGTGAGTGGGCAAACAATGTGAAACATAACATGCAGGAGTTGAAATTCCAGAAATCCAGTAAATGTTTCTACAGAACTTTGCAATATTGCAGTAATGCTTGTGATATAGTATTGTGTATTGTGTAGCAGGAGTACTATGTGAATGTTTGTCTACAAAAATGTAATATTTCATTTGTAGTTATCATTACTTCCGGGTATCAAAGTTTTAGGTAGTTGAGTTTTGTCTGCAGTTTAACAACATGACCATGTTTGCTGACACATTTCAGGAGTGTGTCTGGGAATGCAGGTTGCTGTGATCGAGTATGCCAGGAACGTTCTGGGCTTCAAGGGTAAGCTAGTTCTCATTCTTCTAGATATTTCTTACTTTTCAGGGCTTGAAATCCTCTTTTTTTTGGCATACCTGCATTAGTGCAGATAACATTGAAAATTATAGGAGGTGGAAGGAAAGGGATGAGTTGACTACCCACTGCCACTACAGCCTCAAAAAGGCTATGGGACTACCTTTACCTTTTACCTTCCTTTTTATGGATTATAATCAGCTCAGTTCAGCTATTTGCTTTTATTATTGAGGAAAACATTGATAATTTTAATAAGAGAATTTCCACGGATTGCACTTGGCCTGAGAAAGGCTTTGGGACTACCCATACCTACCTTTTTTATGGATTATAACCAGCACAGCTCAGCTATTTGCTGTAAAACGTTGCTAGTTTTAATGTGAGAATTTCCACTGTTCTGTTCCCAGACGCCCACTCCACAGAATTTGACCCTAAGACAGAGAACCAGGTGGTGATCGACATGCCTGAACACAACCCAGGAGACATGGGGGGAACCATGAGGCTGGGGCAGCGCAAGACCATCTTCAAGTCAGACAACTCTGTCCTCAGTAAGTATTACATGGACATGATTTTGGACTGTGGGATGGGGGGGATGTATGAGGGAGCTTTGGGCATAAGCCACAAGCACCAAGCCTCTGCACATAAAAGAATCCAACACACTTATTGCGCAGAGTAGGGGTGACCCTGTGTGGTTGGCTGTGCAGGATGTATTATTGTACAGGACCGTGAGTGTGAGTGAGTGAAAGCTGTATGGTAAGCCTGAGTGTAACTAAAATGTGATGTATTTGTTGTCTCTGTACTGGGAAATAGTATGGAAAGCCAGAGTATTTTGTATGTAAGATGTGACGTATTTGTTGTCGCTGTGCAGGGAAGCTGTACGGAAAGCCTGACTATGTTGAGGAGAGACACCGGCACAGATACGAGGTGAACCCTGAGTACGTAGAGCGGCTACAGAAGAAGGGACTTCACTTCGTGGGGCAGGATGTGGAGGGGGAGAGGATGGAGATCGTCGAGCTGGAAGGTAAAAATTTCAGGTGTTCCTGGGAGTCAAAATGTTCCTTGTAAGTTCCATGTAATTTTCAGGAAACATTTTCAAATTGCAGGTACATGGCTCCAGACTAACTTGGGAGCACTGATGCTTCCAACCCCCAAAAATTGGGGTGCATCAGCAAAAATCTAAGTGCATCACTCTGAGTATGAAGGTAGATCATCGTATGGAACATAAATTGCACTACATCGCATGAATACTGCGTCTTTTGACATAGGAAAGTGCAGAGTGGAAGTATGATCAGAGAGCAAGAAAGCTTTTTAGTCCATGATATAGACCTCATAGTGCATTGCAAGTTTTGAGAAGAGCTGTGCTGGGTGCTCCTGAAATATTTTCAGGCACACCACTTAGTTTTGGGAGCATACAGATATTTTCATTCAGTTTCAGCTGTTTATGATAGTGTTTATGTCTGAGAAATTTTTGGTTTATGATCAAGAATCCCATAATCGTTTATATCTTTTTCATGATATGAATCTGTTTTTCTCCAGACCACCCCTTCTACGTCGGTGTGCAGTACCACCCAGAGTTCCTGTCTCGCCCCATGCGCCCCTCGCCGCCCTACCTGGGGCTCCTCCTAGCGTCCTGCGGCAAACTGCAGTCCTACATCTCCCGCGGCTGCCGACACTCCCCGCGGGAACCCTCCTTCTACAGCGACACCAGCTCTGAGGAGGACGACCTACCATCTTTCTCCAGCCCGCCCCGTAACAATTCACAGTCTTCTGGAGCTGAATAGGCCTCTCTCTCACTACAGTAGTACTAACTAGCCTCTACCAGGCTTCAGAAGTGGCTGCAGAGATTGGCCAAAAGAGTGGAAATTGGCCAAATAGACAGTTGGCCAAATAGGGAGTTGGTCCACACATGGCAAACTATACAGTATACTTCTTTAGAACTCCCCTGGCATGTATCTGTCTATTTGGCCAATATCTTCAGCTGCTTCCAAAACCTGGTAGAGGTACAGAAATGTCTCCACTGGAACTGTTCTTTTCAGGGTCTTGTACAGTTGAAATTGGGCCATCTTGGATTTCCAAACTTACTTTCTCTTGACTAATGTTTCCAGAAACTACAGAGATTTTTGGTGGATCTCTTCACAATATGACTGTGTGATGTCCTTGGGTGCCAGGGGCAGTATACAGGCTAGCTCCTTGGCTGGGAACAGTCTGGCATCCAGGCTAACTCTGATTCCTTAGCATATCAGTTAGCATTTCATGACATCCAAAGTCTAAATAAGAAGCAGGTTTTCTACTACAAAGACAAGAACATCTTTAACTGAGACAGATAACATCTTTAACAGTTTGTATATGTGCCATTTTACAGTGACTTGGAGCGAATGTATTGTATTGCGTTGGTACTTATGATAATCTGAGATTTAAGTTATGGGAATGTTTGGACATGCAGATCTTTTTCTACCGTCCTGAATAAGATCTGTTGTCTCCAAAGTCTCGTGACCAAACCTAGTTGTCAAGTTGCGTTCGTTCTCTCTCTCTGACAAATAACAGAAAGGACGAAACAGTTTCGGCAGCTAAAATAGGTTTGGTAAACCAGACTTGAGTCTTTGAATATGTCTTAAAAGTAGCCAAAAGACTTAAACAATGCAAAACCCACAGCACCTAGGCTGGACAATACTGGTGCCTTCCTTATACATGTATTCCTCAAAGCAATGACTACTAGTACTAGCTGTAGAAGTTTCATTGCCAAAGTAACAACATTTCGGTGTAACGTCGGTAAATAATACCTGTTTATTGTGATTGTTTCTGCTATTTTGTCCTGCCATTTGCTAAACTCTGCACATCATTCATTGTCTCTAGGTTCCCCGTCATGTACATACTGGTTTTGTACCTCACCTTGTTTGGTTTGATATTTACCTGCTATATTATTATTAATGTTTACTGCTATTGTAAGCTTTTGTTAACTTATGCTTGAAGTAGGCTTGATGTTATCAATTTCATTCATTTTTTTTATTGTGCTTGCCAAGTAGCTAATTAAAATTGTGAGCATTCTTGTATGTTATTCCACACATTACAACTAACATGAAACTGTAAATATGGAGGAAGGCTTTTTTATTTTATTTTTCAGACCTATGCTAAATAAAGGTACAAAACATCAATACAATCATATATATATCATGGGAAATGTATGCATGTAGATAGTTCAAGTGTAATGGAATTCAAATAAAGGTATTAAAATTCAGAGTGATAATGTCTTGTATTTTAGTATGTGTAATTTTACCTTCTTACTCCTGCCATGTTTTTGATTGGAAAATATTCGGCTGTCATAAATGTACAATGGCTGTGAGTCGTGACCCTCACCAAGGTGCAGCCTTATTGTTAACATAGGTGGAACACTTGGACTGTTTGGGACTAACTAAAGCAGTCCCTTTCATATCTGCAGATCTAGAGTTAAGGCCATGCTGACTTCATTTTATGGATGACATTTGTGCATTGATTTTTGCCCGTTCTCAAATAAAATATATCACGTCCACCGAGGCTCTAGGCCTGGGTAGTCCATGGTAGTTAGCGAGAATATGGAGCCGGGCACCGAGGTTAACGAAGCTCCACGACTCAAGAACTCTGTACATACGTACAGTGCCGATTAATAGATTCCACTAAAAGCTGGCTTGTATACGTACCTAAGTACTGCCAAGTATTCCTGTGGTTTCATAGCATTTTTATTTTTGGCCGGAATTTTTTTATTTGCCCGCGCGCACTAGTTTGGGGGTCTTCAGAGGATGTCGTCCATAAAATTAAGTCGGTGTGGCCTAATGGTCATAGGCCTACATTGTATATCCATACTCAAACTGATTTCTAAAAATGATCAAATGCCAAGAAAAGGCCAGTGTGGCAGTTATGTATCAAATGCCATATATCATAATCCAAAAAGATTGGCGAAGATAACTTGTGATCCAGAATCAGTGCAGCGACCTACTCATTGCTAACAGGTTTGCCTACATGAACAGTTAACTGAAGACAGAAACTTGCTTCAGCAAAGAAAATGCAAAGCTGGAAATTTACTAAAATTTCAATTTGTGTATACTACACATTTCAACAAAAATTGTAATGAAATGTCCCTATATCAAAATCAGAACTAAACTACCAATGGCCCATGGTTATATTCTATCAATGGAAAAATGCTTGTATATTTCATCATCATCACATCTGGCAGCTCTGGGGAAAGATATGATTCTGAAGTGGGTGCAACCAAATATTTTCATTCACAATTCCTTCTTTTCATATGAACATCTACATGTTAAAGTAAAATAATCTTCCATTATTAAAAAGTTGCTATTTACATGGCAAAAAAAACCTCCACGATTAACAGTTTGCTATTTACATTGCAAAAATATGATACAATGGCTGTCTCCAGATTGATCCAAGGAGGTTAAAAACCTTGGTTGATCAAACCTGCTGTAGCTAATCTCCAAGACAGTATCAAATTGGCAAGGCAGTATCCATTAGCCAGACAGTATCCATGTGCCACCCATACTTTGGTGGCTAATGGACACTCCTCTAGCTCTGGCCAATGGATGCTGCCTTGCCAATGGATCTGCTTGGAGATTAGCTGTTGCCTCTTTCGCATGCATTTCTTTCTAATCTAAGAGGCTTGCAGCATACAGGTCAACTTGTTCCAAAGCCATGTGAAACCCGGTGCATGCCTGTTCACCTTTGGCCTCTAGAATGTTCAGCAACTCGCGCGCTGCATCCTGGGGAGTCCTGGCAGCCCGGATGCGGTCGTTCTCCTCCAGGCTGATGACGTCATCTGCGCGAAGGTGGACCAGGACGGGGCTGATGTGACGCAGGGTCTCCACCAGCTTGACACGCTTCCGGGCTACTCTTCCCAGCATACCTGTAGTGGTATAAAAGGTAAGCATTAGTAACAGTCATTCCTCGAGCTTTTATGTGTCTTCCTGGAATTAGGGAATATTGTGATCATTGCAAATAGGAGGAAAGTTTTACACATGATGTCATGAACATCGGTTTATAGATCAGAATTCAGAAGGTAAAGACTAATTAGATTGGAATCTTATGGTGTGGGCTTTATTTTAGGCCTTTCATCAACACAACCATGTATCTCATCCTATATTTGGCAATCCCAAATTGAAGCCCTGTGTTAGATCTTGATACGTACCTTTCAGGTTTCCGAGGTGCAACAGGAGGTCCTTGACCTTTTCCGGGACTTTCCTCTGAGGATGGACGACGTTCTCGCCCTTTGCCGCTGCTTTCTCCACCTCTTCCCTGCTGTAGGCGTGAGGCTGCGGACTGTGTTCCCGGAGGTCCAGGGCGCTGAGCACCATGTCTTGTGACCTGGCTCCTGGGCTGGTCTCGTGCAGGAGTTTGTATGCCATGTCTGTCAGGAGGTCCATGATGGAGTTGCAGTCCTCCCTGTCGCCATCGTTGCTCCTGACGAAGATGTTGAGCCGCTTCTTGTCTTGTGAGATCTGCAGCAGGGCCTCGGCCTTCCCGTCGGTACATTTGGCGCTGTCCTTCCACAGTAGAGGTTTGTCGAGCTTGTCTGGGTGTGCCTGCATCAGCAGCGTCTGCAGCCGGGGGAACAGGTCGCACGAGAAGCTGTCGATCTCCGTGCGGCAGCGGATCTGCATCCCGAAGTAGACAGCCTTGCCGGACACAGGAGACCACGCCCTCTCGTCTATCTCCTGTTGCAGCAGGCTGGGGAGGATGAAGGTGTGACCGTCGAACGTGTGGCATAGCTGAAAGTCCTGCAGCAGCTTGATGAGCAGAGGGATGTCGGCAACAGTGCCGAAGACTCGCTTGAGTTCCCCATAGGTGACGTGATCTTGAGCAGTTCGCTTGATGTTGTCGATGGGGAAGTTGTCAGGAGCCAGGAGAATTCCAAAGACTGACGTGTACAACCATTGGGGGGACAAAACTACCACAGCAGTGGCATCGCGGCGAAGGTAGATAATCTGAAGTTAGAAAAAGGAGAAAATTACATTTAAATGCATTTTCGTTACACATTAGTTCACAAATATATGGCTTAAATCTTTTTACCATACATAAGTAATAGCGTTTGAAGATTTACCTCTCCAATATCATGCAGGTATGATGACGCGAGCTGTACAGTTCTCTCTGCTAGGCTGACGGGTGTATCTTGTCGAACAATTGCCAGATACTCCTTCCACTGCAATACCGGGAACGTCTGCCTCTTCTTCCTCCAGCGTGACAGGTTGGACATCAGCTGCACACAGACCTTTGGAACTGCCTGTCGGTCCTGTATGTTTTTGTGAAGTAGGAAAGAGTACAGATACGCAGAATTTAAGGAAAGTAAAGAAAGTGATTTAGAACCAGCTCATTGAAGTGCTGATTTCCCACTGGTTGTAACAGAGAAAAATGATGCTTTTTGCAGTATTTACAGGTTCATATTGTAATAAGGAAATTCCCCCTGCTCTTTTTGACAAGCGCAATAAACAGTAAACCACAACTTAACGTCCCGTCCTAAGGACCGCGACCCCTTTCCAATTGGTGACCGACGGCAATCAGGATTCGAACTCCCTAAGTCTTATTCCAGAGGCAGGGTCGCTAACCACTGGACTACGCACACACGGATTATCTAAGTACATGGTGTTTCTCTGATTTCAATGTTAGTGAATGTTCATGCTATTTAAATTGTTTACCTCCAACATTTCTTCCTTGAAAGCAGCAAGCACGTCTCGCAGTCGTCTGATGTCAGCTGACCCGGCTTCCAGGCAGTTCATCAGGAACACCTCCGGTGACACCACCAGTGCCCCCTCGAACAGCTCTCTGTAGTGTTCTACCATGGCCTCGGCGCGGCGTTGACCTGTACGTGGGCATAACAACATTCAGATTATGTAGCATCTAGGTTTTCAAAGATGTAGAGCAGAAGGGAAATGACTACTAGTATTCATCCTTCAGACACTTTCAGCAGTGTCAGCTGTAATGCAGCTAAACTTGTTTCAGAGTGGACATGAACATGACACCTATCTTTTGTTGGTCGCAACATTACGATGAAGCTAATAAATTACCTGCTGTCTTATCTTGTAGCTTGTCAGCATGGCTGGCGATCAAGACGATCCGGGGCATGTTGGTGGGATCTGGGTTACTGCAGTTGATGAAACTTAGCCAACCATGGACCTAGAAAAAAATGTAATGTTTAGAGTTAATACTTGCTACATATCTTCGCCGTCACCTGCATCAAAATGGTTCCAGTATGAGGCAGTGGAGCTTGAAAATATGAACATAGACACAACGGGTGAAGGTACACCGACCTGGTTTAGGATAAAATGCTTTACATCTTAAGGTATAGACCATCATGTTAATGAGTGATGTGAAAACAGCAAAAAAATTGACCAAAAGTCTGCATACCTGACGTTCCTGTTCCTCCTCCCCATCTGTGATTTTATAGACGACCGGGAAGATGGCGTTTGTTGTACGGAGCAGCATGGCGTGTGTGACGTAGAACTGCGCCTGTCCTGCGAAGTCATGCAGACTCAGTCTCCCGATCCCCTTCACGTGTTTACGTGACACGTGCACTCCTGGGGTGGGGTTGAACTCTTCCTTTCTGAACATCATTCGGATGTTCCACAGAACGGCCGGGAAGAAACCGGTCTGGAATAAGTAAATGACTTGTAATAAGTAAATGAATAAAGCCATTGTTTTTTCTCAGTCTCAGTATATCTTTCGAAAGCATATTTCTAGAATTATTGTTATGGAAATGGTAAAAGATTGTTGACACATAGTAGAACTGCTCATTGAAACATTTGGCATTGAAATTGGATGCTTTAACCAACATAAGCTGTTAACGTGAAGTGTGTTTAGTGCCATCCCTACCTTTTCTAGAATGGCCCTTAAGGATGTTTTGCCGACCTGCCCGTCTCCAGAGAGAAACAGCTTGACTGTTGTTTCTTCTTCAGAACCCAGAGAGGAGACCAGCTCGCCGTACTCTGCCTGCTTCCGCGTTTCTGTCTGCGAATTAATCACTTATATCGATTATAACAGAACTTTGTGTCAAAATCTCAAAGTTACAAATAAGCATAAACTTTTCAAATTCTTTTCGAAAATTCTTCATTATTGTCCACATGATATAAATTTGTGAAATCTAGAAAGAAAGCTTACTCTAATAGAACTAGATTTTGACTGACGATTTGTTTTCTCGGATTATTATTAGAATAGCTACTTCTGACACACGGCCCTCCAAGGCTACCACAGACAGTTCTTGAGACCCATACGTATACCTGTTGTCATAATACATACCAGCGTTCCCCATCATTTACGTCTAGTATAACTTACTTCTACCAATAATCTTGTACTTTCGAGCAGTCGTGTGGCATCGTCGACTGGGCGTTTGTTGTCCTGAAACAAAAAAAAAACACTTAAATGGACACTACACATGCGGAAAAAGAAACTTTCTGACAGCCACACAGATTGCAGAAAACCAAGATTTACAATTAAAATAATTATTTTATGACATTATATACCTAGTGACTTAAACGTCTAATTACTAATCTTTCGTTTTTTTCCTTTATGTTATTTAGGTTGATTATGTTTGACGGACGTTTTTACCTTGTTGGTGATCAGAAGATCAGCTCGGTTCCTGATAAGCAGCTCCACAACCTTGCCATGGCGTTCTCTACACGCTACATGCAGACCTGTGTCTCCGGTCTGTAACACAACAGATAAGGCAAAGGTCACAAAGGAGATACGGCTGTGTGAAGCCGGCTATTACATCTATACAAACACAATGTTCACATTCGCACTTGTACTCACCTTGTTAGTCACGTTGGGATCAGCCTGGTTCTTAATGAGCAGCTGCACAAGTTTGACATTACCCCTTCTACACGCTACATGCAGACCTGTGTCTCCTTTCTGTAATACAAAAGAAAAGCAAAGGTCACAAAGAAGACGCAGCAGATTGAAATCGGTCTTTACTTCTGTACAAACGCAATGTTCACGTTCTTACCTTGTTAGTCATCAGAAGATCAGCTCGATTCCTGATAAGCAGCTCCACAACCTTATCATAATCCACTCTACATGCTACATGCAGACCTGTGTCTCCGTTCTGTAACACAACAGATAAAGCAAAGGTCACAAAGGAGATACGGCAGTCTTAAGTTGCCCGTTACATCTGTACAAACAATATTCACATTTATAATTAGTCTTTTACTTACCTGGTTAGTCACGTTGAGATCAGCCTGGTTCTTAATGAGCAGCTCCACAACCTCATCATGACCCCCTCTACACGCTACATGCAAAGCTGTGTCTCCGTACTGTAACACAAAGCAAAGGTCACAAAGAAGATACATTTGAGTGAAGTCAGCCATTGAATCTGTACAAACACAATGTTCACATTCTCTCATGTACTTACAGTATTGGTCACGTTGAGATCAGCCTGGTTGTGAATGAGCAGATCTACAATTTTGTAACGACCACACCTACACCCCAGATGTCACAGAGCGGAATGTGCTGAATTATTTCATCCATAATTCTGCAAATGACTCACATTTACATGATCTATGCCATTCATAGCGATGGCCACATGTTACTAAGTCACATATGTCTAATGTATGACATAACCACCATTTACCAGTAATGGCATTTTTCTATCACATGTGAAATTAGGCCCTAAAATTCACCTGTCACACAACAATCATGACCATAGCATGTCCCGGACAAAAACCGGTAGTTCTACTGCAGTACCAAGGACAGTCCCTATAGAATTTATAAAACTTTCACCAACTTACCCAGCCGAGGAAAGAGGTAGTTTGTGGTAACCTCATGTTGACGTCCACCCCTTCCTCCAGACCCCTCCTCACAGTCTCTACATCTCCATCCCTTACAGCCTGGAAGAACTGCTCCTTGTCCATGGCCGGATCTTTTGCTGCATGTCATAATTTACAGGAATATAGACAAGAGTTAGGAACAATTAACACCACGATCCGCGAATTCTATAACGTATCAAAAGAGGAAAGTAATTGATTGAATATCGTTTTGTGCAACAAATGAAATTATAGATCGTAAAGGATGCCGCTATATTGCACGTAGTTTCCAATATCACATGAATCTTGCACATATCTCTTCACACACCATGTTGTTTTTTGTCTGTTCGATGACATAGCCCATATTTTTGTGTTATTATGAGATAGATGGTTTATGAATATAATATGAACACACACACACGCACGCACGCACGCACACATACATACACACACACACACACACACACACAAATACAATCCTCCCGAGGCAGGGGTGCTTCCTTACGTACATGTACGGCAGCACTAATGCTTACTAACATATTTGCCGCGGGATAGCTCTGCCGTGGGAGAATGACAAATACATACCGCATTGCATGTTGATATAATTACTTGCTTGCTCTGTCGGAAAGTCACAGTTGTCATATCACGGAGTTTAACTTGATTTTTAATCTCCTTCTTCAGTAGTGATACCTCAATGGCCATGCAAGCTTAAGACTTGAATCGGGGAAAGTAGGTATTCAACCCGACGTTCGCCCCGCTAGTTCGCGACTTTGAGTCTAGGCTTGTAAAAAATTCCACCGTAAGTTTCATTTTATAAGCAGCGCTGATTTCAGGATATTATGTGAGAGACTAATTCATAATCGTGGCTAGCCTTATATGAACAACTATGTGTAATCTCCAAGCAGATCTTTGGGTGGCAGCAATACTATCAAGTTGGCAAGACAGTATCCAATGCCCCCCAAGAGGTGCGGCGATTGTTACAGGAGGCCAGTATACTATACAGAATCCCAGGAAAATCTCCTGGAAGATTAGACTTTATGTAACAGTAGCAGCAGGAAGGGCGGTGAAGCAAATACATTTGTGACATGTACCTAGCAGTGTGCGTTCAAAATGGCTGCGGGATTTTCCGACTCTAACAAGGAGCGACGGAGGACACGCGGCCGCAAAGGAACCGTGCGGACACGCGTTAACTACCACAAACGTACATTGCACAGTATTGGAAGGAATACTGTACTGTAAAGCGAGAGAAGCTGCGTTTTGAAAGGCCGTCCGCCGGACAGGTGTGAAAAGTGCCACGGTGGCAGTGCCCAAGTCCGTTAAGATGAACTTTAACATGTAACCGAAATAACGGACCAACCAGTGTAAACTTTCATCGACATCTTGTGACCGAACGTTTTGTGTCACGTGATAATGGCACTCGGTATCATGCACTGATTGGCTAATCAACCTGTCACGTGCTGTATACACGTAGGTAATTATTCTCTCGTCATGATGCTATTTTTAATAACTACCAGCCCCCCCCCCCCCACCCACCCATCCTCTTGTTTGCTAGGGATCGATTTTGTATAACGCAATGGTATACACTCGTCTAGTAGCATAATATGGGCAATCTTGAGCTTTATATCAATTCTCTGGAATGTGGAAGAGTTACCTACAGAAACTGCATGGAAATACTCAGGAAATGAAAATAACCACAGAAAATGGAATAAACAGTGTCCCTGTCGGCCACGATAGGCCCCATTTCCTATAGCTAGGGCATGTTGATTTGATTATATGGATGACATCCTCTGGGAACCCCAAAACTGATGCGCGCGTGCGAATAAAAAGTTTTGCAAAAAAAAAGTTGCTTTCACTATGAAATCTACGTGGTCATGAAGGTTGAACAAATGGCACAGAATATGTTATGGCGAATAATCTACTCTTCGAATTCATTTCTTTACATTTTTGTCTTTTTTCCTTTGATTTTGGCATTCTACGACATTGGAATCGTTTATAAATGTTTTCCTTGCAACTTATGGTATATTTTTGCTCATTTAGCAACTGCTTTGCACGATTTACAGTATAGTTGAAAACTTTTTTTTTTTGGAAACGGCCGAAAATACATGCGCGCGCGGATGTCATCCATATAATCAAATCAACATGGCCCTATACATAAACCAAAGCTATACATAAACCAAAAAGCAGTTATTCAAGCGACTGGATATGGTTTTGACCGTTTCCAAAATCAAAATCATTGACTATCGTTTACGATCGCTTTGTGCAACAAATTATAAAGGCTCCCGCCATATCCATGTTTCCGACATCACAACATTAATCTTGAACACACCGCTTTCCACACAACGTTGTTTTTGTCTGTTCAATGACCCATATATTCCACATTGTTATTATTATGAGATAAATGCTTTATAAGTATACATGTATACACACACACACACATGAGAGCGGCGACACAGCTATATGTCCGTTATGTACCTACATGTAGCAGTCTGCGTTCAAAATGGCTGCGAAGATTTCCGACTAGAACAAGGAGCGACGGAGGACACGCGGTGGCACCTTGACCTTGTAAGTCCCAAAGGAACCGTCCAAGACACGCGTTAACAGCCACAAGCGTACATTGCACAGTACTGGGAGGAATACCGTGCTGTACAGCGAGAGAAGCTGCGTCTTGAAAGAACGTCCGCTAGTCAGGTGTGAAAAGTGCCACGGTGGCAGTGCCCAAGTCTGTAATGATGGACTTTAGCATGTAACCGAAATAACGGACCAACCAGTTGAAACTTTTATCGACATCTTGTGACCGAACGTTTTGTGTCACGTGATAATGGCACTCGGTATCATGCACTGATTGGCTAATCAACCTGTCACGTGCTGTATACACGTAGGTAATTATTCTCTCGTCATGATGATATTTTTAATAACTACCATTCCCCCCCCCCCATCCTCTTGTTTGCTAGGGATCGATTTTGTATAACGCAATGGTATACACTCGTCTAGTAGCATAATATGGGCAATCTGGAGATTTATATCAATTTTCTGGAATGTGGAAGAGTTACCTACAGAAACTGCATGGAAGTGACCACAGAAAATAGAATAAACAGTGTCCCTGTCGGCCACAATAGGCCCAATTTCCTACAAAGCTATACATAAACCAAAAAGCAGTTATTCAAGCGACTGGATATGGTTTTGACCGTTTCCAAAATCAAAATCATTGACTATCGTTTACGATCGCTTTGTGCAACAAATTATAAAGGTTCCCGCCATATCCATGTTTCCGATATCACAACATTAATCTTGAACACACCGCTTTCCACACAACGTTGTTTTTGTCTGTTCGATGACCCATATATTCCATATTGTTATTATTATGAGATAAATTCTTTATAAGTATACATGTACACACATTCACACACACACACACACACACACACACACACACACACACCGGTACACACCGTATTGCAAGTAGCAGGAAAAACAAATCTTGTTTTATTGTGCACTAGTGGCTAAATGTAAACATTACTTGGGCGACATTGTTGCATTTACCGCGTTGATGTAATTAATAAAGTCAGGAAAACGTACCTGTTTTATATTTGGTCGCACAGTCGGAAAGTCACAGTTGTCATATCAAGGAGTTTGGCTTGATTTTGACCTCCTTGGTGAGTTATACTCCAGTCAAAGTCCTGCCTGGGCAGTTCTCATAGCTGTAGTGATCCCTTAATGCTCATACAAGAGAGGCGTCAATCGTCGTCAATCGGTTTCAACCCGATGCCCGTTCTGTTTATGCCTGACTTTGATGCAAGCCTCGTAGTAATTTCATCGTAGGTTTATCTTTTTATTCAATATATAAAGTGGCAGTTGCAGCAGGAAGAGCGGCGACACAGATATATGTCCGTTATGTACCTACATGTACATGTAGCAGTGTGCGTTCAAAATGGCTGCGGAGTTTTCCGACTTGAACAAGGAGCGACGGAGGACACGCGTTGTAAGTCTCAAAGGAACCGTCCAAGACACGCGTTAATAGCCACAAAAGTACATGACACAGTACTGGGGGGAATATTGTGCTGTACAGTGACAGAAGCTGCGTTTTGAAAGGCCGTCCGCCGGACAGGTGTGCAAAGTGCCGCGGTGGCAGTGCCCAAGTCCGTTAAGATGGACTTTAACATGTAACCGAAATAACGGACCAACCAGTTGAAACTTTCATCGACATCTTGTGACCGAACTTTTGTGTCACGTGATCATGGCACTCGGTATCACGCAATGATTGGCTAATCAACCTGTCTCGCGCTGTGCCTGTGCGCGGTATTTTTTTCTCGTCATGATGCTATTTTAACCACCTGTTTCCCCACCCCCTTTTATTAAATTTTGCATGGCGCGATGTGATGGTATACACTCGTCTAGTAGCATAATATGGTCAATCTGGAGCTTTATATCAATTCTCTGGAATGTGGAAGAGTTACCCACACAAAATGGAAGTACTTGAAAATGAAAGGAACCACAGAAAATGGAATACACAGTGTCCCTGTCGGCCACGATAGGCCCCATTTCCTACAAAGCTATACATAAACCAAAAAGCAGTTACTCAAGCGACGCTTGATATGGTTTTGACTGTTTCCAAAATTAAAATTATTGACCATCGTTTACAATCGGTTTGTGTAACCAATTATAAAGGTTCCCGCCATATCCATGTTTCCGATATCACAACATTAATCTTGCACACACCGCTTTCCACACAACGTTGTTTTTGTCTGTTCGATGACCCATATATTCCACATTGTTATTATCATGAGATAAATGCTTTATAAGTATACATGTACACACACACACTCACACACACACACACACACACACACACACACACACACACACACACACACACACACACACACACACACACACACATACACGTTAACAGACACGAGCACACGCACGCACACACAAGCGCGCGCGCGCACCGTGACACACATACACACCGGTACACACCGTATTGCAAGTAGCAGGAAAAACAAAGCTTGTTTTATTGTGCACTAGTGGCTAAATGTAAACATTACTTGGGCGACATTGTTGCATTTACCGCGTTGATAAAAGAAATAAAGTCAGGAAAACGTACCTGTTTTATATTTGGCCACACTGTCGGAAAGCCACAGTTGTCATATAAAGGAGTTTGGCTTGATTTTAACCTCCTTAATTGGTGAGTTATACTCCAGTCAAAGTCCTGTCTGGGCAGTTCTCATAGCTGTAGTGATCCCTGAAGGGTCATACAAGAGAGGCGTCAATCGGTTTCAACCCGATGCCCGTTCTGTTTTTGCCTGACTTTGATGCAAGCCTCGTAGTAATTTCATCGTAGGTTTATCTTTTTATTCAATATATAAAGTGGCGGTTGCAGCAGGAAGAGCGGCGACACAGATATATGTCCGTTATGTACCTACATGTACATGTAGCAGTGTGCGTTCAAAATGGCTGCGGAGTTTTCCGACTTGAACAAGGAGCGACGGAGGACGCGCGTTGTAAGTGTCAAAAGAACCGCCCAAGACACGCGTTATAACTGCCACAAAAGTACACGACACAGTACTGGGGGGAATATTGTGCTGTACAGCGACAGAAGCTGCGTTTTGAAAGGCCGTCCGCCGGACAGGTGTGCAAAGTGCCGCGGTGGCAGTGCCCAAGTCCGTTAAGATGGACTTTAACATGTGACCCAAATAACGGACCAACCAGTGTAAACTTTTATCGACATCTTGTGACCGAACTTTTGTCACGTGATAATGACACTCGGTATCACGCACTGATTGGCTAATCAATGTCACGTGCTGTGTACCTGTACGTACTTTTTCTCTCGTCATGTTGCTATTTTTAACCACCTGTTTCCCAGCGCCTCTTGTTTACCAAGGATCGATTTTGTATGAGGCGATGGTATACACCCGTCTAGTAGCGTAATATGGGCAATCCGGAGCTTTATATCAATTCTCTGGAATGTGGAAGAGTTATGCACACAAAATGGAAGCACTCAAAGGTGAAAATACCCGCAGAAAATGGAATAAATAACAGCGTCCCTGCCCAACGCATTAGGCCCTTTATCCATAAAGTCCTGCAGAGCTATACATACATTCTTACCAAGCAGATGTGAAACTTATGCTATGGAAATCCCCGAGAAAGTTACGATATTACCTCCCACTATCTGCTTGTTTTTTTATAATCTCCAATCAGACCATACGGTGACAAGGCAGTATCCGGTATCCATTGGCCAGAGGAGTGTCTATTAGCCACTCAAGATCTGTCAGCAGTCAAATATTGGCTAATGGCCACTCCAATGGCCAATGGATACTGCCTAGCCACCGTATGATCTGTTTGGAGATTAGCTGTGACCACTTCTGCTATCAGCTGACCACAAAATCAGACGTATAGCAGAAGAAATTGAATGGAGCAAATTTGAGGGAAGACAATAAGTAGGAATAGAATATGGACCGTTTGGAGTCCATTCTGAAAACAAGTTACTGATTGAAGATGATGAATCAAGACCATATTGAGAGGCAGAGATTTCTTTATTGTACAATGCTGCATAAAACATACCTTACAACATCAACTATGCCCAGAATTGTCCAAACTAGTACAGACTAACAGAACATTGACTGTCCTTTTGCTTTTTTGACAGACATTGATTGCTATTTTGTGGTCACAGAATCATTAAGAATTTAATATTGACAGTGCAGAACTCTACAAACATACTGTGCTTGGACTTTGAACACGTATACTAGTAACAAAGTAAAAAAGTTTGTATAACACGAATTTGGATAAGGCTATATCAAAGAGGTACATGTATGCCACCATAACATTAATACTGGATTCAACTACATGCTTAGCAAAAGATTACATACTTTCATAGCTTGAAAGAAACATATATATATGTTCTTGGCCCCAAATCAATGTATGAATAGACTGAACAGATTTACTCTTAAACTACTAACAAGGTGTATGTACGTGTATCAGTGTCTGGCTCTTCAGAAACCAACTAAACATGGAAATGTAGGTATGACTATGGTTATATCAAAGAAGTACATGTGTGGCATCATAACATTAATACTGGATTCAACTACATGCTAAGGAGAAAGTGAAGATTACAACATACTTACATAGATTGAAAGAAACATATTATTGTACTTGGCCCAAATCAATGTATGAATAGGCTGAACAGAAATAACAAGGTACGTGTACCTGTATTAGTGTTTGGCTCATCAGAAACCAACTACACATGGAAATGTCAGTCACTGTTTGTACTTTCTAATAATGTTTTCATACATGTATATAAAGACCCTGGAATATTTAGGACAGTGATTCTTAACTAAATTGAAGAAGCTCTACCAATATATACAAGTATATATAGTTTTAAGAAGCCTGGTTAGTCAGAATTTAACGATTAAGGGGGGGGAGGCCTAGTAACTTTTGTACATGTTGTATGACTCCTTTGTCATGTCGTAGGCTACAACAAAATTGACAGTCTATATCTATGGTAAACTTTTCCATCTTAACATAGCTGAATTTTGCACCAAGGACTTGAAATGTGTTTTAGTAAACGTGTTGTACAATGAAGGTGACCCTCACCAAGGTGCAGTCATACTGCTTACATGTTATGTTGAACACTTGTGCTCTTTGGGTCTAAAAACAGTGTCTTTTATATCCGCACATAGGCATCTGTCCATGGACTTCTAAAAGGGATCAAATACCAACCAAGACCAGTGTGGCAGTTATGTATCAATTTACACATATGATAATCCAAACAAAACTATTGACAAAGATAACTTTTATGATCCAGAATCAGGAACACGTGGATGTGACCAGGTGATGCTTACTTAACATGTGGCCTTAGATCAGGTGATGCTTACTTTAAGTGCCGTGACCTACTACTTGCTAATGTCAGAACTGGTTTTACTACTTAAACTCTTAACAACTGAAGACACAAACCTGCTTTAACAAGGAAGTGCAAAGCTGGATATTTACTAGAATTTCAATTTGCGTACACAATACATTCAACGAAAAAATTCTAAGAGGCTGGCAGCATACAGGTCACAAGTTTCACCAAACTTCTTTATATCGGAATGAGAACTAAACTGTCCAACTACCTGTGGTTATATTGTACCAATGAAAACATGCTTCTATACGTTTCCTGTTGCTTTGCGGAAGGTTTGTATCTACATGTATCAACTTTGATATCTACATCTGGGGAACAAGATATTCTTAGGTGGAGGCAACCAAATATTTTCATCAACAACCCCTTCATTCTTTTCATATCTAAAAGTCATGCAAATGTATAATGTTCCATGATTAACACGTTGCTATTTACACTGCTAAAATATGATACAACGGCTATTTCCAGATTGATCCAAGGAGATTAAAAACCATGGTTGATCAAACCTGCTGTAGCTAATCTCCAAGAGACAGTATCAAATTGGCAAGGCAGTATCCATTAGCTAGACAGTATCCATGTGCCACCCATACTTGGGTGGCTAATGGACACTCCTCTGGCCAATGGATACTGCCTTGCCACCGTATGATCTGCTTGGAGATTAGCTGTTGCCTCTTTCACGTGCATTGCTTTCTAATCTAAGAGGCTTGCAGCAAACCGGTCAACGTTTTTCAAAGCTTTGTGGAACAAGACGCATGCCTGTTCACCTTTGGCCTCTAGAATGTCCAGCAGCTCGCGCGCTGCATCCTGGGGAGTCCTGGTAGCCCGGATGCGGTCGTTCTCCTCCAGGCTGATGACGTCATCGGCGCGAAGGTGGTCCAGGATGGGGCTGATGTGACGCAGGGTCTCCACCAGCTGGGCACGCTTCCGGGCTACTCTTCCCAGCATGCCTGTAGTGGTAGAAAAGGCAAACGTTGGTAAAAGTCATTCCTCAAACTTTCATGTGTCCTCTTGGAATTAGAGAATATAGCTGAGAATCTGTGACTGCTTTTGTTTAATAACTGACCACAACTATGTATATATCCAACTCCTGTAAGTTTGGGAACGCATTGTAGATACAATTTCGTGTATACTACGTGCAGATATGTGATACACACCTTCCAGGTTTCCGAGGTGCAAGAGGAGGTCCTTGACGTCTTCTGGAATGTTCCTCCTGGGATGGACGACGTCCCTGCCCTCCCCCGCCGCCTCCTCCACCTCTTCCCTGCTGTAGGCGTGGATCTCAGCTCTGTGCTCCTGGAGGTCCAAAGCACTCAGCACCATGTCTTGTGACCTGGCTCCTGGGCTGGTCTCGTGCAGGAGTTTGTACGCCATGTCTGTCAGGACGTCCATGAGAGCTGTGCAGTGTTGCCTGATGCCTTTCTTGCTCCTGACGAAGATGTTGAGCCGCCCCTTGTTGTCTTGCGAGATCTGCAGAAGGGCCTCGGCCTTCCCGTCGGTACATTTGGCGCTGTTCTTCCACAGCAGAGGTTGGCTGAGCTTGCCTGGGTGTGCCTGCATCAGCAGCGTCTGCAGCCGGGGGAACAGGTCGGACGAGAAGCTGTCAATCTCCGTGCGGCAGCGGATCTGCATCCCGAAGTAGACAGCCTTTCCGGACACAGGAGACCACGCGCTCTCGTCCATCTCCTGTTGCAGCAGGCTGGGGAGGATGAAGGTGTTACTGTCGAACGTGTGACAGAGCTGGAAGTCCTGCAGCAGCTTGATGAGCAGAGGGATGTCGGCAACGGCGCCGAAGACCCGCTCGAGTTCCTCGTAGGTGACATGATCTTGGGCAGTTCGCTTGATGTTGTCAATGGGGAAGTTGTCAGGAGCCAGGAGAATGCCAAATACGGACGTGTACAGCCATTGGGGGGACAGAACTACCACAGAAGTGGCATCGCGGCGAAGGTAGATAATCTGAAGTTTGTAAATAAAGGAGAAAATTACATTATAATACATTTTCGTTACATTTTTGTTCACAGATTCCTGAATATGTCTTAAATCTTGTTAATATGCATACGTTATAGCGTTTGAATTGTGAAGATTTACCTCTCCAATATCATGCAAGTATGATGACGCGAGCTGTACAATTCTCTCTGTTACGTCGTCGGATGTATCCCGTCGAACAACGGCCAGATACTCCTCCCACTGCAATACCGGGAACGTCTGTCTCTCCTCCCTCCAGCGTGCCAGGTTGGACATCAGCTGCACACAGACCTTTGGAACTGCCTGTCGGTCCTGTAGGTGTTTGTCAAGTAGGAAAACAGTACAGATATACAGAATTTAAGGAAAGAAAGTGATCTTGATCCAGTTTTAGCTGACTGAAGTGCTTCTCTCCCACTGGTCGTAACAGAGAAGACAGATGCTATTTACAGTACTTAGAGATTCATTGTACAGTACTTGGGAAGTTTCCCTTGCTCTCTTTGACGAGCACAATGCACAGTGGACCACAACTTAATGTCTCATTCGTCCTAGTGACCCTTTCCAGGAGCATTGATGCTAGCCTCCTGTGCATGCCCCACGGATGGGACGTGGGCGGAACGGAACCTTCTCTCGGCGGCTATGTAGGATGGCCGGCTATATTAAAATAACGCGTTAAAAACTCTTTTCCATCCGCCGCGGGGCCCGCACAGGAGGCTACATTGATGCCAAGTGAGCGACAACAGCGGGGATTCGAACTCCCACCCTCTTAGTCCAGAGGCAGGGTCGTTATAGCCTGGTTGTCAGTCTTGTTTGCTTTCGTTCGCTCCCCAAGATTCGCTAGCGCTATCGGCCGCTATCTTGGGGAGCGGACGAAAGCTAACAAGGCTGCACTCAGGCTAGGGTCGTTAACCACTGGAAAACGCATGTACAAGCATTCAGGACCGTGATCCTCTCATTTGCATGCTCGAGCTCTTTAAATGCCAATGAATGTTCATGCTCTTTAAGTTGTTTACCTCCAACATTTCTTCCTTGAAAGCAGAAAGCACGTTTCGCAGTCGTCTGATGTCAGCTGACTCCGCTTTCAGGCAGTTCATCAGGAACACCTCCGGTGACACCACCAGTGCCGCCTCGAACAGCTTTCTGTAGTGTTCTACAATGGCGTCGGCGCGGCGGAGACCTGAAGGTTTTGGCACATAAAAAGAGAATACATACTAGTATTCCGATAGCAGCTAGTTATAAAAGATGTAGAACAGAAGGGAAATAATAAGTATCCACACACACGCACGCACGCGCGCGCGCGTGTGTGTGTGCGTGTGTGTGATCCTGCAGACGCTTTCAATGTCAGCTGTAATGCAGCTAAACTTGTAAGATGAAGCTAATAAGTAACCTGCTGCCTTGTCTTGTAGCTTGTCAGCATGACTGGCGATCAAGACGATCCGGGGTTTGTTGGTAGGGTCTGGGTTACTGCAGTTGATGAAGCTTAGCCAACCATGGACCTACAAACATATTTACAATCATGTGTATTGTTAATACTTGTTGCTACATATCCTTCTCGTATTTACAAGTTGCATCAAAATGGTTCCAGTATGAGGCAGTAGTGGAGCTTGACAATATGCACATAGGATGGGTAAAGGTACATCGATATAGTTTAGGATATGTAATAAAATGTTTCACACCTTAAGGTATCCATCATGTTGATGAGTTATGTGAAAACAGTAAGAAAATTGATCAAAAAGGCTTCATGCCTGACGTTCCTGTTCCTCCTCCCCATCTGTGATTTTGTAGACGACCGGGAAGATGGCGTTTGTTGTACGGAGCAGCATGGCGTGTGTGACGTAGAACTGCGCCTGTCCTGCGAAGTCATACAGACTCAGTCTCCCGATCCCCTTCACGTCTTTACGTGACACGTGCACTCCAGGTGTGGGGTTGAACTCTTCCTTTCTGAACATCATTCGGATGTTCCACAGAACGGCCAGGAAGAAACCGGTCTGGAATAAGTAAATGACTTGTAAGAAGTAAATGAATAAAGCCATTGTTTTTTCTCAGTCTCAGTGTATCTTTCGAAATCATATTTCTAGAATTATTGTTATGGAAACGGTAAGAGATTGTTGACACATAGTAGTACTGCTCATTGAAACATTTGGCATTGAAATTGGATGCTTCAACCAAAATAAGCTGTTAACGTGAAGTGTGTTTAGTGCCACCAACCTTTTCTAGAATGGCCCTTAAGGATGTTTTCCCGACCTGCCCGTCTCCAGAGAGAAACAGCTTGACTGTTGTTTCTTCTTCAGAACCCAGAGAGGAGACCAGCTCGCCGTACTCTGCCTGCTTCCGCGTTTCTGTCTGCGAGTTCATGATATATCAATGATCATACAACTTAATGTTAAGATGTCGAAGTTGCGAAGAAGCATTAGCTTTTCACATTGCGTTAGAACATTCTTTTTACATATCATAATACAGTTTTTTTTTAATATAGATGACAAAACTTATAGAATCGGTTTGTGAGTGACGATTTGTTTTTCCTCGGGTTAGACTTAAGCTACTTCTGACACCAGGCTCTCCAGAAACGCGACATTAGCCAATGGTATCCCAAAAACATGTATCAAAACGAGTTCCCAACCCAGGCTACCAACTACCTACAATGTTTCAGACACCATATATGTGTTGTGGTAAAATACTACCAGCGTTTCCTGGCATCGAATGGCGGACCATTTACGCCCTGTGCCTAAATAACTTACTTCTACCAATAATCTTGTACTTCTGTCCAATCGTCTAGTAACGTCAACCGGGCGTTTGTCATCCTGCAACCAGAAAACAGTTTCAAAAGTTTAAAAGCAGAGAGGTTTATATGCAAAGCACACCCGCGCATTGATTGCAGAAAAAAAAGATTTACACTTTCAAGGCTTAATTTTCTTAGGGAGGGAGTAAGGGAGCCATGGCATACAAATAGGATGGCACCCAGGCTGATAGAAAGTGTCTAAAACGTCTAATTACTCATCTTTGGCTTTTTTCGATTATGTTATTTAGGTTGATTATGTTTAACGTTGTTACCTTGTTAGTAATCAGAAGATCAGCTCGGTTCCTGATCAGCAGCTCCACAACCTTATCATGACCCCATCTACACGCTACATGCAGACCTGTGTCTCCGTTCTGTAACACAAAAAAAAGCAAAAGTAAGTCAAAGAAGATACGACTGTGTGAAGTCGGCAGGTACATCTGTACAAACCCGTTCATAGTTCACAGTTGTTCTTTTACTTACCTTGTTAGTCACGTTGAGATCAGCCTGGTTCTTAATGAGCAGCTCCACAACCTTACCACGGCCCCATCTACACGCTTCATGCAGACCTCGTGT